TGACGATTGTTCAGGGCCCTGAAGGTTGTCACCACGAGGCCATTAAGATCACTGATCCCTTACATTTGGATGGCACAAGCCGTTGTTTGCTGGAACTTGTTCCTTGTATAGTACAGGTATACACTGTATACACCTCAAGCCTCAAACTATGAAAATACAGATAGTATCGATGTTTGGAATGCGTTTGGAATGCATACACGCAGGCGACCCATCAGAGCTTTCAAGCGCTCGCAGAAGCGTTTGATGTTCGTGTAGCATCTCGCTTGCCTTCGGTGTCCTGGGGCCTAGGGGTGCTAGGACCCCCCGTGGCCATGAGCGAGCCTTCGTGGCTACGCTTACCCGGGTTTTTGGTTTGGGGTTGATCAAATCCGTTGCAAAGAGCGAGCCGTTTGGCTTCGCTTGCCCGGTTTCTCATGGGAATTTTGTAAGTTCCAATCCATTGGTTGAATTCAGGTTAACCCAAGAAAGGTAATGCATCGGTTGCCTCATCTAAGGAGGTAGCCTTGGGGTGGCTGACGGCTCCTCGCCGCGCCGCGGTGGCCTCCCTCGGCCCCGTCGGAGCCGTGGGCTTGGGGTTTTGGTATATTTGCAACACACACAAATGTATATATATATATATCATTATATACAATGTTTGCATCTGATGAGTGTACGGGCCCCCCCCCAAACAATTTGAGGATACTCTATAACTCGCACTTTTTTTTGCCCACCCTCAACATTTTTTTGGTCAATCAACTTTCAATTTACTTTCAATTGATTTCAATTTACTTTTAATTTACTTTAATTTACTTTCAATTGATTTCAATTGATTTCAATTTACTTTTAATTTACTTTCAATTGATTTCAATTGATTTCAATTTACTTTTAATTTACTTTTAATTTACTTTCAATTGATTTCAATTGATTTCAATTTACTTTTAATTTACTTTCAATTGATTTCAATTGATTTCAATTTACTTTTAATTTACTTTCAATTTACTTTCAATTGATTTCAATTTACTTTTAATTTACTTTTAATTTACTTTCAATTTACTTTCAATTGATTTCAATTTACTTTTAATTTACTTTTAATTTACTTTCAATTGATTTCAATTGATTTCAACTTACTTTTAATTTACTTTCAATTTACTTTCAATTGATTTCAATTGATTTCAATTTACTTCTAATTTACTTTCAATTGATTTCAATATCAAAATAATCAAAATAATATATATATATATGTAATTATATTATTTTGATTTATTTTGTATATATATATAGTTGGTTATGTATATATATATAAAAATCATTATATCATTATATATATATATGTAATGTAATGTAATGTAAGGTAATGTAATGTAATGTAATGTATTGTATGGTATTGTATTGTAATGTATGTATGTATGCATGCATGCATGGATGTATGTATCTATGTATGTATGTATGTAATGTAATATAATGTAATGTAATTTAATGTAATGTAATGTAATGTAATGTATGTATGTATGTATATATATATATTTAGTTATGTATATATATATATATGATTTTGTATATATATATAATTATCTGTGTATATATATATATCATTATATATATGTATGTATATCATCATGTGTATATATATATAAATAACAGTATGTGCATATATAAAATATGTATATCATCATCATCATCATCATCATCATCATCATCATCATTGTGTATATACATATATATATACATATATGTATGTATATGATTATATGTATTTTTATGTATACCATTGTGTATATATATATAAAACATTATGTGTATATACCATTATATATATACACCATTATCATTGTGTATATAATAAATATATCATTAGGTATATACATATATATTTATGTTTGTATATCATTATATGTATATATATATATGTATACCATTGTTTATATATATTTTATATTATTATGTGTATATACAATTATATATATACCATTATCATTGTGTATACAATAAATATATCATTAGGTATATACATATAAATTTATGTATGTATATCATTATATGTATATATATATATGTATACCATTGTATATATATAGATATATTTATATCATTATGCGTATATATATATATATATATGTTTTCTTTATGTACATATGTAACATATCATTATGTATATATATATACATACATTATTATATATATAATGTTTTTATGTATAATGATATCATTCAGGAGCAAATATTTGATGCGAGTGTCATATCAAGTTCTGAGGATATTCTTGAGACACCCCTGTAAAATCAGCGTTTTTTAGATGACGTCATTGTTCGTGTCTTCCTACACTTCCGCTTTTTCCTATCAAAATTGTCAAGAACAAAGACTGCGGTCTCACACAAAGGGGGGGGGTCTCCCAAGGGTGTCTTTCGTCTTCTTCGTTCTCCCCAGGAGTTGGCGCATGCATTTTTGACCCGACCTCCGGGGAGATAAACTTCCTCGGGGTCGGCAAGAACTACCGAAACTGTGGCGCTGCTTCCGCATTGGTTGCGGTTGCAGAGGGGGCTATGGACGTGGAGGCACTCTTCATTGCAGCTTGTCCACCATCATTAGGTTTCTCACTTTTTTTTTGATATTCGTTTTTGAATCTTTATAACTTCGTGGCTATTAGCGGGCCTTTTTTGGCCACGCTTGCCGGAGTAACTTTGTTTGGGACCACCCGTGGCTATGAGCGAGCCTTCGTGGCTACGCTTACCCGGTTTATCATGGGAATTTTGATTTGGTCTATTGGAGATTATTGCAACTTGAGAGAGTGGTGCATCCCGACTCAGAGGTGCCCCGAGACTATTCCGCGCGCCGCTTTGGGTGGCGCATGGGATATGAGGGCCTCGTGAACGGCATGATCACCAGGAAGATGGTGAAGACGAGGGGCGGGGAACGTCCACCACCGCCCCCACAACCAGCCATTGAATCTTGGCGATTGTTTATTTCTGCCGTTGTTTCTTGCCCGCATTCTCTCTATGTGTGCATGTGGTTCCCTCTCTTTTCTGTGTTTCTTTGGGCGTGTCTGCGTGTTTTTTCTTTCGTTTTTTCCTTCTTTCTTTCTTTCTTTCCTTCGTTTTTTTTCCTTTCCTTCTTTCTTTCTTTCTTTCTTTCTTTCTCTCTCTCTCTCTCTCTTTCTGTTTCCGTTTGCGGTGCTAAGGAGGTTGACAAAGGCCGCGTGCCTGGCCTTGGGAGAAAGGTGGTGTTTGCCGCAAGCACCCCAACGGCCTTGTCAGCCGTTGGGGCGACAGGCAAAGTTGACGTCTTGGCTGAAGGCACGCGGAGCGATGTGGCCGTGGACGGGTTTCCCGTCCAGCTGGTCAGCATTTCAAAGTCCTTTGCGGCACTGTGCATCTCGGCTGCGACACTTTTAAATGTGCCTTCAAAAGATTAAAAAATCAGGTCGGCCCCTAGTGTTCTACTTTTTCTGGACGCTAATTCAAAAAGAAGACGTTTTGGTCCATATCTCCAAAACATTCCGAAACCCGGTCGTAAACTTTATGCTCTCCAGTGCAGCCTTGAATTTTCTGTCACCCCCCGACCCCCTGCATCGATTATAGAATTTGACCATGGAAAAAACCTGGAGTTTCAAATTGTCTCCCAGACGATAAGTCGTGCACCCCCATCTGCATGGTGATGTGCACACACAGGCACAGTGTTCAAACTTGCCATCATGAATCATCATGACCATGTTTCTTCCAAAGACTTGATTCTGTGGGAACTATGCAAAAAAGGCAGAACGCTCAATTTTTCCGCTTTTTGTATCTTTTTGTGGCATATTGTGTAAAACATTCAAAAAGCAAAGTGACATAGTTTTTGGGATTTGTAGGCGTTTGATGGTTTTTGCAATCGTTTTTTGAAGGCGTTTTGAACGTTTTTGTAGGCGCGAACTTTCGCATAAAATGTGCACATTGCGCACACAAATTAGCATATCTATAATCTAAGAAATGGTGAGCCAAAGACTCTGTCAGTGGCACTTCAAAGCCGATTGACCAGCTAACATAGCTGGTCAAAGTTCAGCGTTTTGATCTTATTCTCTTCGTCTTCGCGCAGTTGTTGCATGTCGCTCGTGGCGTGCATTCGTCCGTGGGTTTTTCTGGTGTCCGTTTGTTTTTTGGTTGTTTGGTTGGCTGTCTGGCTGGCTTATTTGAGGCGACAATGGCCTGCTCTTTATTTGGAGCGCTGACGACCCCTTCTGCATGTGCTTGGCGGAAGGGGTCGTTGCGATGTCGGCACATGCCGAAGGCCTCATGGCCGTGAAAAAGGACGGTGCCTGTGAACACTGGCCCGTCCAAGATTTGGAGGATGACGGTGAGCAACTTGTTTAAAACTTTCCTGGTTTTGTTTTCAACCATGCATTTTTCCATATTTTTCCAACCCAGCAAAACAAGAGCAATAATCAAATAATCAACACGTTTTTGGGTTATACAGTTATACAGATTTTCTAATGTGCCATCTAGTAGTTATCACCCCTGTATCAGTAGTTTTTCTGATTTTGGTTTGCGGTTTACATGGGTTTTTCATATTTTTTCCGGGTGCCAAATATTCAAGGACCACTCGGGCCATCCTTGTATATACCATCCCAGAGTAAAAACATAAAAACACATACCTTCTCATGATCCATAGGATTTTTCCTATTTCTTACCAAGATTCCACCTGAGGTCCTAGAGCCACGCTACATATCCCAAGTGATGGGGGCTCTGACCATGCTTATACCTACCAATACCCCCAACCACCCCCCAAGCACTGTGCATGCGACATCCTTAAGACGTTTTGGCAAAGTGAACTGGCAGCTGTCACTGTGGAGCAGCATTGGTTCAAAGGGATGTGTCATGATGTGTCTCTCTGATATTTTTGGGGATCCAAACAAAAGAATCATTCACTCTGTTTTGCCATTGTTTAATTTATGCAGCCCGCGCATTTGCGCAAACCAGTTCTTTGACGCAGCGAACACGGAGAAGTCAACTTATGAATCAACACCACAGTGGCATTGCACAGAGAACTTTTGGGGATTGGCAAAGCATGCCGCCCTTCTGGGCAAACCAAAGAAAAGTGTCTTAGACTCAGGAACAGTTTCCGGTTTGAACATTTCTTTTTGCGGAAAACGTTGCATTTGGATGCATTCGGAACAGCCCAACAGCAGCCCAGAAACGTTCAGGATGAGAGCAGCGCAGTTCTGCTGGATGAGGACGCTGTGGATCCGAACCAGAAGTGGTGGATAACCTCAACAACCCTGCTTTGGGGATTCATTTGCTTTCAGCCAAAACCTGTAGTTTCAATTTGGGACAATTTGAAGACATCTTCATTCCTTTGTGTATCACGGATCTCTAAAGATTGACCAAGCACACACTTGGGGAAGAATCCTACACGAGTCAAACGAACACGCTAACTACACCAGGCATTCAGACCATAAGGTGATTTTGTTCAGTCATTACACCGAAACATACCGAAACCTGCAGTTTCAAACTTCGAAAAAACAAATATAACTACAATTGCTCGCTATTGAGGACACCAAACATGTTTGAAGGTTGATTACTTAATGATTACTTGAATTTTGCTGCACCAGTCATCCAGAGAGCAGAGTGGCAGAATGTATTTGCAGCTCTGAGGACCAGCTCCAAACGCCCTCTTTTCCGAGCCTGCCCGGAGGCGGGAACAACACAAAACTTCTTGACGATTGATGACTGGATGTGCAGGTTTCAACCTGTATGTGTATGATTGGACCTTATTTTCATGCTTACACGACATTGTAAAGACGATAATCTCGTTGCGACAAGTGCGGAAACTTGTGTCTTATCCAGGTGCAGCAATGAAGTGATGAGGAGTTTTTTGTGGACCCACTGCAATTGAAACTAATGATCAATGATCAATCAACTAAATGACTCAGGATGATCGTATCAAACTGATTGCTAGCATATATTCGATATATACTGATATATGTTGATATTATTTGATCATATTTGATCATATTTTTGATGTTTCAACTTGAAAGTTTTCAGAGTGTTCACATGTCCCAGGTCACGTGCTTTTCAGCGTTGGAGGCGAGGCGCCCCAGTCAAAGGCGTTCCTCGGAGGTGCCGGCATCCAGAGGCAACAGCCAGGGAAAAGTAGCCACGGTTGAGATTTGAATATATTTGAATGAATACCCTCTGGTATTTTAACATAACTATGGAAAATCACCATTTTTAATGGGAAAATCCACTATTAATGGGAAAATCCACTATAATATGTTGTTTGGCAAATTTGATGGAAAAATGTGTCCTATCAATTATCTCATATTATCTCTGAATCTCACTGGGACTTTGGACCATTTTTTGGCAAGGTACTGTATGTAAGGTTGGTTAAGTTTTGGGAGAGGGCCACAAGCGGCCACTATTGGCTACTATACGGTGGGGTTGGCGACGGCAGAACAGACGTGACAGGTTGGAATCGAAGGCATTTCGGCTCGATCGAATGATGTTGTGGACAGTTCAAATTCGATGAACGTGTTCATACATTGGGCAAGAACCAGTGTACCATATACCCTACTCACAAACCCCCGATTTGAAAAGATGTGTACTGGAACAAAATGGAACAAACCACACTGCTCAGGGTGCAGACAGAACAGAGCAGTGAAACAAACTGTGAGACACGTAAGCCAGTGAACTCAAAGCTTCTCAGCGTGCAATGCGCCGAAAACGTGACTGGAAGCAAATCTGGGATGCCCAGGGCCAAGATTCGGTGAAGCACGAATGGACCGAAGAGGCCCAGGAAAGCTCATCGAGTTGGGTTGTGACAGAGGTCAAGGCGGAGAGTGCCCCGCTCGAGGCCAGCATGGGCATGGACCTTCAAAAGGATCCCCCGAAAGCAACAGTGAATATATTTCTTGGTCGTTATTTCATCAAAACCATTGAGAAGGGCAAGGACTATACCTCTATGTGACAAAGTCCGTGAAGCAAGGCTTCGTGTCAGCTTTGCATGTCCCGATCTGGTCTGAGGAGGTATTTTTTGGCCAAGCTTGTGCCACTGAGAAAGAGGCAAAGGTTTCAGCCGCAGAGGCCTTTCTCTCAAACCCTGCCGTGATTGAAGCCGCTGCCAAGTTACCACCACCAGCTTGGAAGACTCGCAAACATGTTCGCGAGGAAAACAAGGACACCCTGCGGAGTTTGAGTAACAGCAAGAAGTCCAGATTTGCTGAAGAACTGAAAGAAGCAAGCAAAGAACGGTTCAATTCCTTCCGAGAGGAGGGTTGTGGCAACGCATTTTGGGACGGAGTAGCTTGACTCTGTGTGGCTCTTTTGCTGAGCTTTCCAGCGCCCGTGAGGCAAAAATCCCGCGCGTTTGTCAATCAAGGTCCTTTTTCTGTTTGGGAGTTCATTATGTATGATGTATGACCTCAAACCACTCGGGCAGGATAGGTTATGTCCAAGAGGTGGAGTAGTTATAACTACGGGGTTTAAGATAGAAATCCCCCCCTGTCGTGTTTGTTTGACCAAATTTTCACTGGTCATGTTCTTCTTGAGCATTCGCTTATCAGATGAGACTCCATGGAGGTCAAAGTGCGTTCCAAAGAATCTAACCACAGGGTTTTAAGGATGTTTGAAAAGATTGTGGTATTGGTTTGTTGGGCCCCAACGAATGTGATCTGATGTATCCCACGCAAAACGGTAATGGTTAAAATCTGAATCGGCTACCTGAGGCGAGAAATGAGAATGGTTACCCTTGGTTTCATGGTTAAAACGGTAATTATTTCATGGTTAACATCTCTGTGTGAAACCAAAAAGCGGTAAGAAGCGAGAACTCACAATGAAGTGGGGATTTGATTGCCTCAGAGGGAGATATCGCCGTTCAATGTGAAGGATAGTTGAATATCTTTGGTTTGAACCCATACATGTTGGTCGGGGTCCACTTTGTTGGTCAAACTCCCTATTTGTGATCAAATCGGTGGACCAATAACTAAGTCCACAATTTTGATGTTTGAATCAACCATGCAAATCTGGACCATTTAGCCCTATGTTTGGTCCATGTTGCGTATGCGCCCATTGACTACTCGATATCTCACCAGAGCTAGCTTTTGCACCAATGTGAAGTTGTTGGTCCTCGGAGACCGTTTTTGGATGGTGATTCCTTGGACTTGAACTGTTGAAGAAACATGAGCAAATCCCCGTCCTGAGGTAGTCGAAGCTAAATGAAATGGCGATTATTTTTTTGGACAGTTATCACTCGTTGTTTTTTTTGGAAATCATTTTGCTTGCGGCTGGTGAGTGTGGCCCATGCTGTATCACCCGTGAGCAACCAAAGCTAGCCCAACGAGGTCTACTTCAGGGTTGCAACATACCGCCATGGCCACAGGGCTTAGATCCTATATTTTGGGGATTAGTTCACCTTGGTTGCAATCAATTGTAACCCAAATTGCCCTCCAAGGTCCTAGCTGTCTTAGCTGTACCACCGCACAGAATCCAATGGCCACTGCCAGGTCTCCTGCTGTGCTCAACGCTGAAACCAGTGCCGGTTTTGTGGTTGGAAGTCCAAGCGCCCATGGAGATGATTCTAATGGCGGGATATACTGGAATAATTATAGGGGATCAGAGTGTCAGTTGTGAATTGTAACTTTGGATGTGCCGGACCCAGTTACTGTGTGCTAATTAACCATTTGAATACCATTTGATAATGCATAGAAACCATTTGCAAATGGGATTAACCTCACATGTGCAATGGTCTAAGAATTGTTATACTGTATTTTCCAATCAAAGGGAAGGTGGGATGACTGGGATGACCACACTCCATTGATCCTATGGTTTGACCCTGGCACATACGGGTCACTAGCCACTTATTATCTTCTAACATTGCCAATTTGCTTGGATTTATTAGGTCGAATCCACACGGCTGGTGGACACGCCTCAAAAAATTGGCTGAAATCCTATGATTTTCGCATCATTTTCGCTATTCAAATAGCCATTTCCAAAGGGGTCATCCCTTTGGGATACGCTCATTTGAACATCAAGGCGTAAGGGTTATCACTTGTTCATGGGACTGACTCTATAATGGTTTCATGCAGTCAATAAATCTCAAGAATGTCTTTGTTTGATGAACTCAACCACTCATAGTGTCCATCAAAGAAAATCGACACCTTAGGAAGTCAGTAGCGAGATGTTCGCGGAGGTGGAGAAGTTGATGCTGGAGGAATGCGTGGGTAGGGTGAAATCCTATACTGATCTATATTGGGTTTCATGGTAGGTGGGTGGCCTATTTTTGTGCCATGTTGATGGGAACATAGACTGTGACTAAGCAGTTCAGCTAAACCTTCGTTTTTTTTGGCAGGGTATCTCAATGCAGAAAACCAGGCAAAATAGTAGAGGAGGACTGTCCCAAAAGCAGTTGCTTTAGCTTTGTGAGATCATCTGCATAGAAATCAAGCCAACAAGTGACAACAAACCACTTGTGCCATGATCAAGACTGATAATATTTTCGCAGCGATTCACTCCTGTGAAGAAATTTCACGATTTGTGATATCTTGGGATTTCACTTCTGAAATACCATATTTAGGATGAAATTTTGAGCTTCACCAGGGAAATCCCATGCCCGTTGACCCATGGCCATCTGCCGAAACCACAGTTCCAGCTACTTCGTTTGCGTCCTTTCTGGGCTACCGCTCGGCCAGTGCCAGCCTGTACCTCCAAGGACCGGGCGTGCCTGGAGTGCGGAGAGGTGCGGTGAGTGATATGGGGACCATGGGAAGGTATTCCCGGGTTGAGGGGAAGGATGGGAAACCCATTTTTGAACAGTTGGTTATTGTTGAGGCAATTTCATGTCCATTTAGAACCCAGTGACCAGATAACATCCCCAAACATGATGAGAAAATGCTAGTTTTCAAAAATGAGCAACTGGGATTTAAGACATGGATTTAGACACTCAGCTGACTGATTAATCGAGGATATACATGAATATTAAAATTGGTCCCTCCCATTCATCCTGGGTTAAGATTATGCTTAGATTTCGGGATACCCTATTTTCAGACCCCGAAATCTGGGGCAAAACAGGGAGGGATGATAAAGTCCTCAATCACTGGTGGTTCAAACATATCTGAATCCATCTGAATCCATCCCTATTTTCCTATTATATCCCGTCACATCACCATGGTTGGCTGGTTGGTTTCATACCTCTTTGATGAACTCTGCTATGGCCAGCATGGCCATGTTTCAACTGGGACCCGACGCCAGCAGGGCGTGGGTTGGAGGACCAGCTATGACCAGCTGCTGGGCTGAACATCTCCATTTTTCATGTTTTGTTTCATGGGAAAATGATCTTTAACATGGGAAATACCATGAAATACCTTCATTTCAAATCGCCCGAATCCCACATTCTTTGAACAAGTTACATCATCTCAAACTGTCAATATTGAATTGACTTGAGTTGGCTAGCACTAAACTTCCATGTTTTTGTTTATGGGAATGGCTCAAGATTCTTGACCCCCATCTTAGATTGGGATGATCAATGACAAAAAGACGACAGATGTTGCCAGCCCATTGGTGCCCCATGTCTGAGCCAGACCCATATGGACATTTTATTGGTTTGACCTGCAAGAATAGGGATTTGACTGGGAATGATGGTACAGGGGGGTGATATAAATAGGAACCATTCGGAACACCTGTCAGTCGGGGATTACTCGCCGTCGGATCCCAGTCCTTTTCAGTGGACCCAAGCTTCACGAATGTGTCTCGTTGCCGCTGCCGATTTCAAATTCGGACACAAGGTACAGGCATTCGACAAAGTTGTTTCTGTTTCTCGGAAAAATCGATTGCACCTTTGGAGAAAGTGTTTCAGAAAAGTGGTGCTTTTTGATGAAAACGATGAAAACGCATAGTACTCGTACGCATAGGAACTCGGCAGTCTGGATATGCCACCGTTTCTCTTTTGAGATCATCTTATTCATCACCATCACCATGTAGGTTTCCATGTTTGGGGATGTTTGGGGTATGATCAGGTTCATGTTTGAGATGCGTTTGGGCGGTGATTTGGATGTCTGCTTAGTACTTGTTGTTGGCACGGCCTGAAAACGCGGAATTTCACGCTGCCAACTCTGAAGGGCACTGCGCGTTCATGTGCATTTTACCCATTGTTTTTCAATACCCCCAAAAAAATCCACTCCATTATCAGGACCCGCGGGGGTTCGCCAAAACCATTTTTTTGGACAGCCTAAATGCCTGCAAGGATATGCAAATGCAGGTTCCTGATTTTGGAGAGGGAACATTTTGTAGTTGGCTGAAACTGTAGGTTCCTGATTCTGTAGAGGTTTTGGGGTTTGTCAACATTCCAATATACACATTATAATGATTTTGCAGGTTTCCCATTTTGTAGAGAAAAATTGTGGAACATGTGTTTTCACATTTTGTAGAGAAACTGGCATGGTTTGAGGAGAAAAAAAGCGGAAATGTGGCACAGGAGTTTCCCTCTACAAAGATATGATGTTGTGTTTTGCACAAGTGGGGTGGGTTGGGATGGGGTCGGGGGTTGGGGTAGGGTGGGCGGAGCTAACAACGTTCTTTTGCCTGCGTTTCAACACGTGACTTTCTCAAGCAACTTTTGACAACCCCTTGATGCTACGCTCTTGACTTTCTCAAGTAACTTTCAACACTGTTCAACCATTTTGTGAATACATTTGGAGGCCCATTGCCACTGCAAGCGTTCAACAGGTGCGTCTCAGGGTGTCGTTGCGGTGGGTGCGGATGTTGTTCAGACTAATTTTTCCATATTTTTCCTGGAGTATGCTCTTGGCTGGTTTCGGATCTAGTGTGCATCTCGGCTAGATCCCGTGACCACTATAACATTCAATCATATTCAATCTAGTTGCAGAATTTTTCGAAGAAACAGCATTTTGTGAAGACAGTGTTCAATGCAGAAAAACATATTAGGCATGACTTAGGCATAGCTTCTTGCATACAGCATTTACGATGGCAAACGCCCATCAAAAACATGCTAGGCATGACTTAGGCGTGACTCTAACATCGGGCGAGAGGTTCACGGTCCTTGAAGTTCAAGGACCGTGAACCTCTCGCCCGATGTTAGAAAACACACCTCCATGGCTCTCGGAGACTCAAGGTGATGTGTATGTAGACAAAAAGACTTCAGCCAAGGCCGTGAAGAAAGCTTTGGCAGCTAATGTTGGCATTTCCAGGTTCACGCAGAGATGCTTTGTTGAAGATGGTTCGCGGGAGATCCAGGACGATGAAGTTCTAGATCCAGCTCCACTAAAGATCCATCTGGTGGTCTTGGAATTCTGGCCACCTGATGATGAAGAAACAGAGAAAATGATCTCGGCATCTAGGGACAACGATCTAGTTGCTCTTGAAGAACTGCTGCAACGCCCACGAAATCCCAATGTGGCAAACAAAGATGGCAAGACTCCCATGTTCCGTGCTGCAGAGCAGGGACATGTTCAGCTTATGGAGCTGTTGCTAGAGGCAGGAGCAATGACAGATGAGCCTGAGTTTGCCCTAGGGCAGACACCAATGTCAACTGCAGCTCAAAATGGTTGCCTCGATGTTGTACGGTTTCTGGCAGAAGTTGGTGCAGCCAAAGATCAAGCCGCAAACTATGGTGCAACGCCCTTGTGGGTTGCAGCCGAAAATGGCCACCTCGACATTGTGCGGTTTCTGGTAGAAAATGGTGCAGACAAAGCTCTAGGAGATAACAATGGTGCAACACCCTTGTGGGTTGCAGCTCAAAACGGCCACCTCGAGATTGTGCGGTTTCTGGTAGAAAATAGCGCAGACAAAAACCAAGCAGAGAACCAGGTTGCAACGCCCTTGTTGGTTGCAGCTGACAATGGCCACCTCAATGTCGTACGGTTTCTGGCAGAAGTTGGTGCAGCCAAAGATCAAGCCGCAAACTATGGTGCAACGCCCTTGTGGGTTGCAGCTGAAAATGGCCACCTCGACATTGTGCGGTTTCTGGTAGAAAATGGTGCAGACAAAGCTCTACCACCTCGAGATTGTGCGGTTTCTGGTAGAAAATAGCGCAGACAAAAACCAAGCAGAGAACCAGGTTGCAACGCCCTTGTTGGTTGCAGCTGACAATGGCCACCTCAATGTCGTACGGTTTCTGGCAGAAGTTGGTGCAGCCAAAGATCAAGCCGCAAACTATGGTGCAACGCCCTTGTGGGTTGCAGCTGAAAATGGCCACCTCCACATTGTGCGGTTTCTGGTAGAAGATGGTGCAGACAAAGCTCTAGGAGATAACAATGGTGCAACACCCTTGTGGGTTGCAGCTCAAAACGGCCACCTCGAGATTGTGCGGTTTCTGGTAGAAAATAGCGCAGACACAAACCAAGCAGAGAACCAGGGTGCAACGTCCTTGTCGACTGCCGCTCTCCACAATCACCTCGACATTGTGCGGTTTCTGGTAGAAAATAGTGCGGACAAAGATCTAGGAGATAACAATGGTGCAACACCCTTGTCGATTGCAGCCCTCCAGAATCATCTTGACATTGTGAGGTTTCTAGTAGAAAATGGTGCAGACAAACATCAAGGAGATAATAATAATGGCGCAACGACCCTGTTGGTTGCAGCTGAAAATGGCCACCTCAACGTCGTACGATTTCTGGTAGAAAATTGTGCGGACAAAGATCAGGCAGATACCCATGGTGCAACGCCCTTGTTGGTTGCAGCTGACAATGGCCACCTCAATGTCGTACGGTTTCTGGCAGAAGTTGGTGCAGCCAAAGATCAAGCTGCAAACGATGGTGCAACGCCCTTGTTGGTTGCAGCTCAAAACGGCCACCTCGAGATTGTGCGGTTTCTGGTAGTCCAGAAACCGCACAATCTCGAGGTGGCCGTTTAGAGCTGCAACCTAGAAAATAGCGCAGACACAAACCAAGCAGAGAACCAGGGTACAACGCCCTTGTCGACTGCAGCTCGCCACAATCACCTCGACATTGTGCGGTTTCTAGTAGAAGTTGGTGCAGCCAATGGTGCAATGCCCTTGTTGCTTGCAGCGTGAAATTGCTTGGTCTAAAGTTGTCGCATGTTGTCGCGCTTTGCGGTCTCAGTCACGATGTCTGGTTGGAGGTTTCAGTTGTTTTTTTCCTTTGATCCCTGATATCCCATATTTTTCCAGCAGGTCGATGCACTGTCTGGAGTCGAGGTGGATAAGGGAACGGAACCGGATTTGTTATAAGCGATCCCCACAGCAAAGAGTGCGGACAAGAGCCTTGAAGGGCATGGCTGAGTTAAAATTAGTTGGATTCACAGCTGACCTGGGTCACTTATCTTTGGTCCCGGATTTCTGTCACACGTCTATCAGACATTATAAGACAGCATTTGGTTCCATTGATGAGGTTCAATTAATCGAGGCAAGGGTTCCAAGCGCCGGGTGCAGGTGCGAGAATATGCACCTTATGCTATGATTCAAATTTCAAACTCAACAAGGTGCTGAAGCGCATTTTGTTCTTGTCGTGAGGGTTGTGTAGTTGGGCAGAAGGAGTTGACAAAGTTTGTTTCAGTGTCGCTACGGGAATTCACCAACTGCATGTTCTTTTGAAAAGAAGTCACTTTGAACCTTCTATGGGACCAAACCCATTCTTCCCCCAAAAAGGTTGCTATTTACATCCCAACATGGCGACTCTTTCGGCGACATTCTTGTGGGATGTGAACTCCAGGGGTACATGGTGAAATTACTCACACTCATATTTCAACTTGAACAACCATTGAGTTCCTATTAAGCATTTCCCTAGTCTACATTCGACGCAATTAATTACATTAAACACCGATGATATATCCATTAAACACACTATTTACAAGAGGCTCCTGCAAAACTTTCCTGAAATCCACAGGGCTATGCCAGTGTCAGCAATATTCCAATGTGATAGTTCTTCCACACATCAGCTGAATCTCTCTTGAGCCGGGGGTGTTTTGGTACCGGTACTCTGGGCAATTGCGTGGATGCTTGAGGTAAGGGCTATTGTGAACGAGATTTCATGTGATTTCGCGTTTCATCACGTACCTGGTTTCACGAAACTCAACTTGAAGAGTGACTTCCCCATGCAATTCTTTTCGAACAAAATCCGCTTCGTAAGTTTAGTTTTGACGACCCGCAAAATTTGTGATAGTCAATACCATTCAACACCGCAGCGGCTGTGGCGACACGGTGGTGCTTGTTAGGTATGCAAGGACATGCAAGGTATGCAGAGTTTGCCATACCGCGCCTCCCTGCAGAGATCAACGTCCTTGGTGAAGGACTCAGCGATGACGTTGACTTCAGGCTCAATCCGTGGATCCAGCTTCAACTTGGAATGTACAGAATTTTAGGTGGACAATTTGAATTTATGTTTATACCACCTAGCCTTCAAGTGGCTGGAACAATTGGTTTTGAATAGTTGTTGATGACACTACCTGCATTGCAGTTGACACTCTTCATGACTTTACGCAAGGACACAACACATAGTAAGTTCACGCAAGTTGTATCTAGACTTGATTTACATCATGAACGGAATCACACAGTTTGTTGTTTTGCATATTGATGAGCTTCTCTTTTCCAGTTTTGTATAGTTTTGTCAGTTCCTTATTTTGGCTGGTTTCTAGTGTGTTAAATTGTCTATGCTATTTTACAATTTCCTCTTCTCGTGGTTTCCCATTTTTGTTCGTTCGCGTTTTCCAGTCTGGTCAGTTTTCGTGGCTTCCCTTTTTGTGGCTGGAGTTCCCTGAGTTTGTAGCGGGTTTGAATGCTGGTTGGCTTGAACATCACTTGTGAAAAGCTGGTCGGTGTAGTTCACTTTGAGCACGCAGATTCAAGATGATTCAAGCACTTGGTGGTCATCATTTTTCTTTTGTTTGCTTTTCCATCGAACCTATCGAACCTTTGAGGTCGTACAGGTGGTGGATTGTTTTGAATGCCGACTCCTCAGGATGCTCCAGGATGTAGACAGCGAGAGACTTAGACATCCCCAGTTGATGTTGGCATCGTCACTTTTGCAACCTGAAAAAAACGATCGTTTTTGGCCCCATGCCAACAGGTTTCTTCTCAATGCTAGGCTCTATCATTGATCTCTATCATCAGCCACATCTGGATTGCAATTGTCACCGAGGTCTTCATCAGGGCCAATCATCATTTTCATTGTCGTCATCAACCCCGCCATTTTTACCACCGTCGCTAGTATCACCATTGTAACATATTGTAACCACTGCGGAGTTATCCTTTGTACATCTTCAGCCATCATCTCTTGATGAGAGTCTCCCACTGAGGTGACAAACTACATGGTCCGGCGCTCATAGATGGCCGTAGGGTTTCGTAGACCTTTTCGGCTTCATTAAGCCAGTTGGAAAATTAATCATGATTCAGATTCCAGACGCTGGCCAAGCGAAAGGCATGTGTGCTCACTGTCTAATTTGTTGGATTCTTGCGGACGCAGTATTGGAGGTTAAAGAAACATGAAACATCTAATTTTCGTTTCCAAAGATCAATACTGTAGCATCCAGTAGGTGAGTGAGTGCAAGCTGTAGCATCCAGTAGGTGAATGGGTGCAAGTGAACGTTACTCCCCCAACCCACCCCAACCCAACCCTTTCAACCATGTAAAGGGGAAAAAGTCTAACAAATGTCTAAGGAATGCAGTTCGTTGTGTCCAGAGACACACACTATATATTTTTTAGAAAACTCTCCAGCTGTAACAGCAGACACATGCAAAGCAAAAAACACATGTTTCGCGATGCTGCCGTCTCACCCCAGCTACATCCAGCTACGAAGAAGTGCCCGGCGCAGCACTGTGGAATCAACAGCACCTCTCCCCCAAGGCCAACATTGGTTGTTGGGGATGGTTGTTGGGGTAATGAGTGATTCTCCCGAGGTTTGGGTGGCCATTTCACCGTCTCTGTAAAGTCTTTCTCTTTGATCTTCTGCCGAAGAAATGCATTTTGAGGAAAGAGCATTTCAATCTCACCAAGGCACCAGAGGTTGGCCGTCAAGCAGAACTTCAAGCGAATAGGCTGTGGAGAAAAAGATCGCGCTGGAAGAACTTTGAAGGAATTGCAATACCAGGTGATTTGAGACATTTTTTGGGTGGAGACCCTTAACTGTGGAGGGAGCTACAATCCAGTGATCTTGCTTCAGTTCTCAAACAGGCCCGGCAGTGAGAAACTTCGTTGCGCAGCCGTCGTGCATGCAGTTGAGTCTGGAGTCATCCCAAATTTTGCATCCTCCTAGTAAAATATTTCCCAAAAGTGAAGGCCACTCCTGAGATTTTAGGATTGTACCGCTGCATTATCAGGCACCACTTGCAACTTTGTGCAGCAGAGGCCCTTGCTATATATGCTTTTGCGCATGTTTTTCTCTGCAGCTTTATTCACTTCTCAGAAAGCGATGATTATTTGAATATTGGACACGGTCTGACCATGGCACCATATGAACATTGCCCCAAAATGCCCCAAAGCACGTTGAAACATGAGGACCCATTTCATTTTCCTATGACATGCCGTGTCAGAATAATTTTGCAGCACTTCACACCAACAAAACCATGAACTAACTTCAATTTGTTTGAAATGTGGCGAGCATCGCTTCCTCGAGGCGGGAGAGATGGATGACTTGTTGGATGTTGCTTTTGTCAAACGGAATGTTTGTCAAGCAAGGATTCCACATGACTCATCTCCGTCAGCTGAAGTGTTTCGAATCGAGGCCGGCTGCGAACTTTGTTCCAGACCAAGGTTGTGAGGCCGGCGGACTGAATCTTCTGTGGCAGCCTGGCAGCCTGGCTGTGTCAGGCATGCAAGCAGCAGCCAGCCCACAGGGCTCTCCTCAAGACGCATGGCAGGCATTGCAGTCCAGACCTCATTCTTCAACTACGACAGGGAAAATATAGATTTGAGATGTTTGAGAGGAGCCGCAGCGCTAAATTTTTGATTGCAGATTTGTGTTGCTGGCACTTCGTCTCTGTTATTTTATCATGCAAGGTAGGCTGTTTAGCAGCAGTTTCTGCCGGGGTTGGATCCTCGTTGAAGAAGCAATTGCACTTTGCTTTGCATTGTGTGTCATGCAAGCAATTATAGCTTGTGTCAAAGGAAGAATTTGAAGTTGAGTGGATCCACGCATTGAAATACCACTTGCATCGACTTGCATGAGTTTGAGCCCACCGGTCCCATCAATGGGACACTAGCTGAGGCCATCTACGACTTGACCTCTCGTTGGGTTGGGCAGGCTCCCCAGTTCTCTTCATTTTTGCTCCTAGTGAGATGAGCCAAAGTACCAGTTGAACTCGCATTTTGACTGCAACAGCAATAGTAGGCTCACATCAGCAGTGTTCACTGGCCAATTCTGCTGGTTTCTTGCACTTTGTCCTCATGCTTCTTGTGCTTCGAACAAAGCAAGGAGACAAGATGATGAGGAGTGGCTTGAGGACTGGTATGTCTTTTTTTTCATTTTTTCAGGATATCCACCTGATAAGACAGCTGTGGCATCATTATTTGTATACAAATTAAAACAGCCGTCGTTGTTTTGTTTTTGCCACGGACTCATCCCTACATCTTCGAACACGAATCTGCTAATCGTGACACTCTCTTTGGCAGAGGATTGGGAAGAGGAACTGGCGGACGAAGCAGGAGTTCCCCCTGAGATTGCAGCTTCTTTCGTGTGGCTCACAGATGCCAATCAGTTTCCGGCGTGAGTGGAGCCAATTCATTTGTGTCCTTGTACCCAGCTTGCGGTCTGGCGACGATTGCCACTTCTAAGGGGAGGGGTTCATGTTGATTGCGGTGTGTAGCCAAGGTTGTTGCAAGGGAGCTGCGACAAGCAAGCGATCCACTCGTTGGTCCCTTCCACAGTTGTTTGCATTGGCACGTTTGACACCGTTTCCTAGTGGGAGCCATGTCGAGCTAAGTATAAGGAGCCATTGCTATCATTGCTTTGAGATTGGATGCCTCAGAGTTTGGGTTAACGGAGAACCTTGTTGGGCCATCGGGGCTGATTTGGTGCCGTATCAGTTGGAAACCAAGGGACAAGACACTTGATTTTCGTCCGACATGGGCAGCCGAGCGACGGCGTAGAGCTCGCACCTGAGAGATTCCGAGGGTCCCTCCCAGAGTGAGCCTGAATGGTCGCTTGGACACTTTAGGGAGCAGAATCACACCTGCAAGTGTGGTATTTTGTCCAGTTGGATATCGTCATATATGGTTCAATCATGTTCTACTTGTATCATGGGTTCGTCATGTGATGTCATGTGGTGCTGTTGTACGTCCAAAAAATGGGGACGGCCTGCAAAATGGTGCAACAGCTGTTGTGCTTTGCAGTTGGATGGCAGAGTCCATAACTATGATGAAGTTGGTGCGTTTCAATGTCTGTGCTCTCGGCTTCTCTAAGATGCTTTTGCACTCATTGCTGACTTTTTTGAAGTTGGCTCGAAAGCTTGTGGTCATCACTACCTATGGATGATATTTGAGCTCTTGTAGATATGGCATGTATACAAAATATTTTGCGACATATACGCCCACCTCTACTCTACCTACCCCGTTGTATGTGAATAGGTTCGATATATCCAAGCAACTGATAGCAACTCCACATCTCCACGATTTGGCCCCATCTCAAGAAATCCAAGCGCAAGTTTCAAGAGCTACCTGAAGCCACTGCACTGCAGATTCACAAGCAACTTTACCTTCATCTGCTGCTGGGCATGATGAACAATTATGACGAAGAAGTTCCCCTTTATCGTGAATTCTATCCTCACTGAAACTTGCAAAAAGGAACGCAATAAGTTTTCGTGAAGTACAAGGGCACGGGCCTGTCAAGAACAAGCTGTGTGAAGAAAGTGAGCCCAGGCTTCGCTGAGACATGCTACAACGGTAGGTATAGAAGCCTTTAGTCAGGATGCATGGAAGTGCAGGACATTTTAGATTTACTTTCTCCCAGGATGGCGAAAAGCAAAGACGGTGTGCTCTTAAAGTCATGCCCAAAGACCTTGCTGCGGGATTCCAGCCTTACCAATCCTTGGGATACCGAACTGACTTTTGAGATTATTTCAGATTGAATATTCGCGCTCCATGAAAAAGATTGCAGAATATCGCAGACGTGTTTCTCCCTGTTGAACCAAATGCAAGCAAATATGAATTTGCAGTGCCTGCTCTTTTTGCACGTCTTTCTCTCTCTCTCTCTCTGCCATATTAATTAGTGACAATAGACGTTCCTCTCCTCCACTGATGCATTCCCAGCCATCAAGAAATTGATTTCTTTATTCATCGAACCCGTGCAAATGCAACCAAGGCAACTGTCGGAGATAGGGCTGCAGCAAGCCGAGCTGACAGCAGTGAGGCTTACCCGAAGCACGCTCCAGCAGTGATTGCACTTAATAGCCCCTGTTGAATAGGCTTGGATTGAAAATGACCAAGAATCAACCTACATGGATCATTTGGCACTACTCGAATAGGATCGAGGCGTCAAGAGCACCAATGTCCTTGGCAAGGCTTGCGACCCAGATCAAGGACGTGAAGTACAAGGAGTTGTTGCCGTGTTGCAGTGCCCATGCGACACCTTCGTCCAAAAGTTCATGCTGCGTAAGGGGTGGCTGGCAGGTGATTTTTCATTCTTCTGCAGAAGAAGCCAAAGCAACTGCAAAGATCATCAAGAAGAGTCTCGGCAAGGCAGAGTTGATATATTCTCAATCTATTTCCAATGCCGGGCCTTGCCGCCATTTGGAAATTTTGATCTACATTCGGGTGAGCGCTACTGGCAGGTCGCCTTGAAGGAGTCGCCCTTGCTGGCAGAAGGTGTCCCTTTGGTGCCCTACACGCAATGCCAAGCTGCAGCTATCATGTGATGATCAAGAACCGTAATTACAGCTCTAAAGACTGCCCCAAATGGTTTCCTCAGCAGTTATATTAATTATGTTGTATTAGTGGTCCATGCTAGTTGCGCCTGGATGAGGTACCCAGCCCGGCTCCTGAACCTTGCCAGATTCAGTTGGGTAAAACATGGAGACGAACAGACATCCGCAGTGCCAGTGCCAGATGGCTTCGATGCCGAGGAAGTGTTGCGGGAGCTGCCAGCAGAGGCACAGCAGATTTCACCCGGAAGATTTGGGTCACAGGTCATCGCAGGTCCACAGGAGCTGAACCTTCTGCAAAGATCTGCAAAGGTGCTAATGCGAATAAGACGCTGCTCAAGCTACTAAGTGCTCCAGTGGCCACATCGACTGCGGACTTTGTGTTTGTTTGCCCCTTTCTGTGAGTGTTTTCTGCTTGTGTTGTTCGGCAGAGGCGCTTGTGGGTGATATGTCGAGAGCAGAGGGTGCCTTGAGGACACACTTGGTGCGCCAAGCAGTGAGCAGTGCATTGTCAAGCATCCTTGTTGAAAGAGATTCAGCAGATCAGAATTGTCATGAATTGTCACTTTGTCAATTATTCTTCCCTTGAAATCCCTTGAATATGTTACACTTACATACACTTATTCCATCAATGTTGCCAGTGGCGGCCTGCTGGTGGCCCTGAAAGCAGTGCAGAGGCATGGAACAGAATATGGTGGCCCTGCAGTGCAATGTCTTTTCTTCGTTTGTGCTCGTGTGTGATGAATTCTTTGCATGCACCGAGCGCAGGTGATCGTTGCTCATGGAAACGTGATCCGCTATGTAATTTGCGCGGGCCTAAGCTCTCTGATGTCCATGTGTTAGATTTAGATGATGTTAGATGTACTTCTGAATGGGCCATTCCCATCAGGTCGGGCCTTGCAGCTCAATCCATCTGCATGGTCGCGATTTGCTGTCTGTAGCTCAAGAAAAGGAGTGTCGAGGTCCATTCCATTGCTGATTCCTTTTGCTTTTGGAGGATCCCACGGCTGATCTCGTGCGGAATTTGAGGCTGGTCACGCCACAATTTCCTGGCTCGAGATCCAAAGTGATGGACTTGCAGCTTGTCCAACCCGAAAATTAAATTTCTTGAAATGCTTTAGCGATCCTCCGTGTAAACAACTATTTCTAGACCTACACTGCATATCTTTTCTGAGGTAAAACTTCGAGAATTTGGCGGCTCTGGGCATTTACCTCTTGATATTCGAACATATACTTAGTTAGATTAAAATTATAACAAAATTGGAACGGAATAATATGTTGAAATAATATAATATAATTATTATGTTGTACCTATTTTTTTTAATGGATGATATTTTTTTTTAAATATTTTCTTTTTTTGAATCTTTATTTTTTAATTTTATATTCTGAGATAGTTTTCCCTACTATT